CAGGGATGGACATTTCTCACAGCAGGAAAATTCACTGCGAGACTCACTTTAGGATATTGGATTAATAATCTTTATGTCTGAAAGGATGCAAATATTTTCCTGGTCATAATGGGAGCAGGAAAGACTTCTAGTCTAGTAAAAAAATATACCAGAGGTGGGCAAAATACAGCCCATGGGCCAGATCTGGCCCACTGAGGGATTTTGTCCAGCCCATGGTGGGTCCTTTGGTTCCACCCAGCCCAGGCACAAGGGGCAGCCGAAGCTATGGCACATGCAGCTGGTCCTGCTGCCCCTGGATGCACAGCAGGGCTGGGGTGGCACAGCAGCCGGACTCACTTCCCAACAGCTCTGGTAGCAGCAGTTTCTTTGGGCTGCCACTGCTGCTGGACCTGCAACCTGAGCACCCCAGCTCATCCAGCTCTCACCTACTGCGGGGGTTGGGACCCATGTGGCCAGACAGATGGGATGGGTCTACGGGTGGGCAGGGAGTGGTGTTCGGAAATGGTATGGGTGGGAGAGGTCGTGATTTCAGGGTGATGCCAGCATGAGACCAGGGCTGACAGAGCCATGGTCCGTTCCCTACATGCCCCTATGATGGGTGTAGGTTCTGCAGCAGGAACATGTGGGGAGTGGATCATGGCTCTTCCCCAACCTGGCTTTGGACACAGTCCCCTCCCACCCATGACCCCATCCCATTCACCTGGCCATGCACTCTGCCTGGGTAGGTCCCAACCAGTCTCCATGCAAACCCCAAGATTGTGAGGTGGTGCCAACATTGTGGGGTGGTGCCTGAGGCAGAGCCGTACTCCCCTTCCTGCATGCCTCTGCCCACAGTCTGCAAAGACTGCTGGGATCAAATGATCCCAGCAATATGGGCATCAAGTTTTGTAACTAATCTTTTCGTTATCTTTTAAAATTAACTAATGTCAGTATAAGTGTAATTTCAGAGTATTTGACAATAAAGGCAGGTCTCTTTCAAGGAAGGGGGAGCCTATAATTTCTGAACATATGACTGGACAAGAGTGCGAGTCCCATAGCTGGCAAAATCCCTGCTGCTAAGTGCTGACAAGACTTAGGTGACATGGGTCAAGCTGAAGTGCTGTTGGTCAGAGACGTGACTTTTGAAGCACCTCAGTTTGCTCTCAGTTGTCAAATAGCATATGGCAGAAAGGAGTGTGGGGCTAAAGGGTGCCCTTGAAGGTGGGAGAACACCCCAGGAGTGTGTGTCTCAAAGGCGTACCTGACCACATCTGAGGTCAGGCTGTATCACAGGTTCATCTTGATTTAGGCACATTTGGGCAGGTTCTGGTAGATTCCTACCTGCCAACCTCAGGCTTCCCTCTTCCTGCCCTCTAGCATCATCAGCTTGTTCGCCCCACACCCCTGCCCCCTTCTCCTGTCATTAGCCCATGAATTTCCATGCAGGATTAGCCATGGCAAAGACAGAGACTGAACATGCTCTCACCCTGGAAATTTGATGTTTTGCTCCTATATGAAACAAAATCTTGAACACCTGGAATTTCCTGGGGGATAGATATTCTATTTTCTAGTCAGCTCTGATGAATGTCATCATTCTCACTTTGACACACGCAGAAAAACAATTCCTTTCATGTTAGTCATTAACATTTTATTCTGATACATTGTATAACAACTAATTGTACGTTTCATTAAATTAACTTTTAACTAAATTTGTTGAATTTAAATGTGTTTAATATGCTATATTTAATTAAACAAATTCACTTTTAATGAATGAATTGATTGTTGTGTATATTTTTGAGGCTGCAAGAACTCTAGATAGTACCTGATACAGTTGTTCGAGGCCAGCAGCTGGTAACTCTCCAAACTAGTATGTCAGGATGAATATAAACAAAAAAAAGCTCCCTCGTGATCCAGTGCAAGGTGTGACCAGCTTATGGTTACATGTGTTTTAGTGCACTGGTTCACTATGGCTAGAGTAGGATCAGGCAATAATTTGGGCTGGAGGACTACTTAAGGGATTTTGGTGAGCTGTTGTGGGCCAGGTTGAGGTGCTGACCTGGTCCAGCATGGTAGGGGGTAGGTGGTACTGACCCAGCCTGGTGTGGCAGAGGCAGGCAATTGATCCTATCCAGCCCTGGGCCCCTCTGCCCCCCACCCCCCACCAGGAGTGCCAGACACAGCGAACAGGCAGGCAGGCAGTGTCTTCATGGAGGTGAACTAGGACCCCTACAGGCGGGGCACGCGTGGATAGGTGAATGGGATGAGGGATGTGCAGGGAATGAATTGCGGCTCTGCCCTGGGCCCTGGCCCTGAATTTTCACTGCCCCATGATCCTGGCTCTGTTTGCCCATGCTGCTCCTGGATGCCACTTCCCAACTGCCTGTGGCCCCACCCCATGCATTGTGCTGAATCTGGTGATGGCTGCAACATGGACAGCAGCACCCAGGAGGAGTCGCCACTGTAGGGGCTGCTGAGAAGCTAAGTCTGGCTGGTGCGCTGCCCCTGGCTTGCCTCATGCTTGGGGGTGGCAAGACCATCCCCACACACCACGGCCCAGGCTGCCCCCTGTACCTGGGTCAGGCAGGGCTGAGGGACCCACTGCACGCTGGATAGAATCCCTTGGTGGGCCAGATCTGGCTGACAGGCTGTATCTTGCCCACCCCTGGCCTACAGGCATGGTAAAAGAGGGGTTATAATCTCCCTTAACCTCTTTGCCAGCCTCTGGAGCTGGCTTGGCCCGAAGCAGATTCTATATCCAATGGTTAGCAGGAGCCATGGAGGGCTTGTTGTTAGTTGTTATTATCACCATTCCCTTGTTGCTAGTTGTTATTATCACCAAAATTTGGGGTGAGGTGGGCACGCTAGTAGGGAGGGAAAGACTGCAGAAAGACCTGGATAGGTTGCAAGGGTGGGCTAACAAAAACAGGATGCATTTCAATATGGACAAGTGCAGGGTACTGTACTTGGGCAGTAGTAACCGGCAGCACACTTATAAGATGGGAAACTCCCTTCTTGAGAGCATGGAGGCAGAAAGGGATCTTGGAGTCATCATTGATCCTAAGATGAACATGGGCCGACAATGCGAGGTCACGGTCGGCAGGGCTAACTGGACCCTATTGTGCATCCACAGGTGCATCTCAAGTAGGGCCAAGGAGGTGATCCTCCTCCTCTACGCGACACTGGTCAGGCCACAGCTGGAGTACTGAGTCCAGTTCCGGGCACCCCTCTTCAAGAGGGATGTGGACAACATTGAGAGGGTCCAGAGGAGGGCCACCCGCATGATCCGGGGACAGCAGGGCAGACCCTACAATGAAAGACTACGGGACCTGAATCTGTTCAGCCTTCACAAGAGAAGGCTGAGGGGGAACCTTGTGGCAGTCTATAAACTCACTAGGGGGGACCAGAAGGGTTTGGGGGAGACCTTGTTTCCCCTAGCACCCCCCAGGATAACAAGGAATAACGGCCACAAGTTGTTGGAGAGTAGGTTTAGATTAGACATCCGTAAGAACTACTTCACAGTTAGGGTGGCTAGGATCTGGAACCGACTTCCAAGGGAAGTGGTGCTGGCTCTTATCCTGGGGGTCTTTAAGAGGCGGCTCGATGCCTACCTGGCTGGGGTCATTTGAGCCCAGTTTTCCTTCTGCCCAGGCAGGGGGTCGGACTTGAAGATCTACAAGGTCCCTTCCGACCCTACTTCTATGATTCTATGATTATTTTAATTGTGAGTTCTGCAATATTTGGTGTTTTCACCATGGCTGGAGTCACATATTACACAAAAATCTCTGTGTTCAACTCCCTCATTGGTTTGGAGAAAAAAATTGAAATCCTGAACCATTAAAGGCTCAAAACTCAGAAAGCAAACAGAAAGAAGCCACATTTCTCATCATTTATGGAGGAGTCTGAGTCATGATTTTCAAATGCGTGGGCTTACCAATACTGGGATCCTGACTGACTCAACCAGATGTCTTGTTGAAGGTTCTAGTATGAAAGCTTACTTCCACTAACCACCTCTTCAGTAAGCCTGAGGGTGGGAAGGGCAAACTCCTGCCCAAGGCAAGTCAGTAACTTTATTTTTAAAAATATCCTTTAAATGACAAAATATAATAAGTATTTTTTCTATGGTGGAAATATAAATATTTTCACTGAATATTTTCCACTGTGAGAATCCAGTTGAACCTGCTCATTTTTCTTCCTAACACAGTATCTCTTGGGATAGATAGATAGAGAGAGAGAGAGAGAGAGAGAGAGAGAGAGATCAAACTCAAAGTTAGGGAAGCTGCATTTGGCTAATACAAGGCTAATACAACTGAAAGAATAAAAATCTGCATTGGCGATGTGTAGGGGGTGTACGTGGATGCATGTGCACCCCCTGAGATTGGCCGTGCACCCCCTAGAAGCACCAGCCACGAAACCGGAAGTGCTGCCAAAAGTGTACTTCCAGTTTTGCCGCTGGCTTGGTGATCATCTGTTAGGGGACCCCCCCCCACCCCTGCCCCAATGATCAGCTGCTGCAGGACCCCACCCCCCAGTCAGGGATCAGCACCTGGGGGACACCCCCCCATTAGTGAACTGGTGCCCCTCCAGACTCAGGAGGCACCAGTCGCCCATGAAAATCTGCATTTGAAGCAAAATTAAAAAAACAGTCATTATGAAACAAAACTTATGTAAAATAAGGTGTTTATCTTGCAATTTTGATGGGAGCAAATATCCCACTGGAGTCAACTGGACCTCTACTTGGATCACCACAGAAAAATCAGGAGCTAAAAGGCATATTTTTCCTCATTGTGCAGAGCTTTCATTACACTTACATGGAACAAGTAAAAAGTGACAACAATAGCATGTGAAGCAAATGTAATTTTAATAAACATTCTCTCAGTGTTTGTAAGTTGTTATATATATCAAGTAATGTGTTTTAAGCATGAAAATGCTTTCCCTCCTGTGCACTACATTTATCTCATAGAGTGAAAGCATTACCTATGAAAAGGAAATCTCCTTCAGTTACCAAAAGAAATCTTACTTACGAGTATTGAGTCAGCAGATCCAAATCATTATGCATGTCGATTGGATATGTTTCACTGAGATGAAATAGCTTCTCTAAGGCCTCATAAATGAAAATGATGCAGATAAGAGAAGCAAAAGCTTCTTCAGTAAACCGGGTAATGTAACAAACTAGGGAGCTTGCATCAGTTGCAACAAGGATGATGCATAAAATTGCAGTCCATAGTCCAATGCTGGCTCTCAAAGAAAGGTATGACAACCCATACTCTCTAAAGAAATGGAAAACAAGCATTAACCATAGCTTATCAAACCATTATTTCACAGACAGAGAAAATAAATCATCCAAAAATCACTTCTGCATAGGTATATCCAGCTTTTATACCCTTTCTTGAGCAGCCAACTACAAACATCATCTCTAGAAATAGTGAACCCAAGGAAGTTATCTATATGTAAGAGATGCTTGTAAAACAAATAATGCAGATAACTCAGTGCCCAGCATATCACAAAAGTGCATTCTAGTACTATATCTGTAACTAGATATGTGAGGAGAACCCAAAACTTTGTGATTTGTATGGTACAGTAAACTCTGCCATGTTTTCACGTGCAACTACCACTGATCCAAGGCAGGATACTGTCCTGGCAGGAAACATCTAGAGTGTCAACTCATCAAGGTGGGGAATTTATCAGAGGTTTACATGACGTGCAATGTAAAAACACTAGAAATAATTAGGCAGGTAAAATATTATTTTGGGATGATTTTTAAGCCATGGACCTATAAATGTAGATAAATATACTTCGCATAGCTGTATTATTTTTTTTACTAAAAAGCTACATCAAAATGCTATTACTTCTCCCAGCTAATTCAGTTTTTGCCTTTTTAAATAATTTTTTGCTGTCTGTAGCCTAGTTGAAAAACAAATAGAAAGTATTAAAAACTTCCTAACTCAAACATCTCAATAAAAAGAAATGTGAAGGCAGGTTTAATTTAAATTTCTTATTTTTATGAATTGAAGTCAGAGATCTTCAAGTCAGATTCCCACCTGATCTTTACTCTCAATTTAAGAACAAAGGAAGACCAGAGTATAAAATTGCAGTGAGCAATTTTTGGATACACTCTAATACTAAATGGGTAGTGAAATTGGTAGATTCTGCTACTTCTCTTCAAAGTTGAAAGCTTAAAGTCAGCAAATGGCTGTACTCAGCAAGAAACCAGATGTAATAGTCTGATAATCTTGCTTTTTTCCCCACACAGACTCCTCTCTTCCACACACTATTCATGTCCCAGAACAAAATCCTATGTTTGCTGTACATAATCTTGCATAAAACATGCTAGAGCTATGTACGCCTCTGTTCCACCTAGCCTGCACAAAGCATTATAAGGGCTCTGCTACATGGAGATCAGAGAGAGCACCTGGGAACCTAAAAAGGGCCTCCTACTCTGCATTGCTCATATGGGAGGATTGAGATTTCCTCTGCTATCAAGCCTTCCTGCCTTAAAAATCACAACTGTAACTCAGGCTGACACAGGGGATTGGATTCACTGGGAGAAGTGTGAGGGTGGCCACCTTCCCACATCAGGCTGTGGAAAGCAGGAATTCACCATTAGGGGCACAGAATGTAGACACAATTTTCACCCACATCATGGCAGAGGGATATTACTTATAGTACATTAGCTTAGAAGTGAGAAGCTGGCCATATGTTATTTTGGCATAGCTTTTTTCTTTTCATTTTTTATGCTTTATTTAGTTACTTTTAAAGAGATGGGAGTTGTTACATCCTAGGATTAAGAGATGCCATCAATTTTCAATACCTAGTCATTCACACTCCATTGTTAGGAATGAAAAAACGCTAAATCTATGGAGCGTGTCTTGTTCTACAGCTTGATTTTCAGTCATGAAATTTAAATGTAATTGTTTTAGGATAGGATATGATCCTCACAGAAGAGGTTTATAAAAGGTAAAAAAAAATCCCACTTTGATGTAATTAACAGGCTCCTTGCTTCTCATCACTGAGAAACTGTTCTGTGTGACTGTACAGTGGCAGCAGCATTTGCCAGCCAGGTTATTACTGAGCATGCCACTCCCATGCTGGAAGATGATGTCTCAAGAGCAAGAAAAGACATCCCAGAGTGTATTTGCACACTTGGAGTGTCAAGCAGGGGCAGAGGGATGTGTGCGCAGAAAATGGCCAGTAGCATACCAGTGGAGCGTACTGCTGCCCTGCATAGACATATCCTAAAAGTCTAAGCTCTAATTCCCACAATCAAGACTTCTGATCTTACTCCATGAGGTGCTGATACCTCTGGATGAGGATCATGCCCTTAACTGCTATATTTTGAATTTTATATTAGATTGCCATCAACTAAAAAGGAGCTCATGATGTCACACGTGAAAAAGACAACCTCACTTACATTACTCATAGTTAGATCATCCTCATGGCACCAAATGATTCGCAATTATTATTTAGCCACATGCACCACATTGCACTGAGAATGTTCCCTGAAACTTTTAAATGTGAAAATGATTTCACTTACTTGCAAAATTTGAATAATATCTTTTCAAACACCAAAACTGGTCCTGTGCTGCCTAGTATTGTAAGAGGCTGTCCACCAAAGAGCGAGTAGGCTATTCCAGTCATGGATGCTCCAAACAAAGATTCTATTGCACTCTGCACATGAAACAAACAGGAGCTTACATATATTTCCTTAGATTCCAAGCCCTGTATTCAACAACTTAGTTTGTAGCCTTCAAACATGCAGACTGTAATATTTTAAAGGTGATTTATGCCACATTAAGAATATACTAACCACATACCTAATAAAGTCAATGCTTTTTTAAAATTTCAGATTAAAGTAAAACACATACTATACGACCTTCAGTTGCTTCTCCCAGCAGACCACCAAAGGTGATGACAGGAGACATACAAGCACAGTAGAGAAACAAAAATGATGCAAGACATTGTAGGCTGAAAGCATCCCTGAAGTCACTCCAGAAGAAGGGAGCTTTTCTTTTGATGTCCATAATCAGTCCTCCAAAAACTCTAAGAAAAAGAAAGGGGAAGAAATAGATTTTTTGGTTTACTTTCCTCCTATGGTGCTGCTTACAATAGGCAGCAACTCTCTCTCTCCCTTCATCAAATAACCAAAAAAATTTTCATTAAAATCTTTCATTAGATGCAGTTCTCTGTAACGAAGTTTTTTTGTCTTCCTTTGCCATTTGTAAAGGACCAAGCATACTTAGTAAATAAAAGCCATGGTCTGGACTCTCCTCTTCAATCTCTCTGCATTGATCCAGTCTGCCTGTACACAGCTGCCAAACCTGGTTTCAACCACCGACCCAGAAATGCCCCTTGGGTGTCGTTGACAGACTGATTCTGCAATACTCTTTTTTCGCCAGTATCCTTGCATATCGGGTGTTCCAGGGCTAAAGAGCTTCTGCCTTCTGACAATCCTTAGTTGTCAGAATGGCCCTTGGGACTTTAGTCAGGCAGGTATAATTCAGAGCCGCATAGACGCTGCTCTAAATTTTACTGAGAGGAGGATGACTGGCTCTTCGCCATTCCTAAGATAAATGATGTCTCTGAAAAGATGGTTTAAAAAACTGTTGCTATCACCTCTTCAGCTGTTCCACATACACTTCCAGCTCTATGTACTTAAACAAGACTTAAAATTGAAGGAGAGTGAAAAGAAAATTAAATACATAGTGTGGTTACCAGTCTCACAGCCAATTGAAAACCCTGTGCTTATAATATGTACAAAAAAAGAGCATGCGCATATTCTCTAGGACAAACCTACCCTCAAACATATACCCTCAAAGTTGCTTATCTGAGGGGAGATTTTGGCTTATTGTATTTACAGCCAGAGCTGCACAATTCAACCACTTCCCTTCTTTTCTCATGTCCTTGTAGCAAGGTATTTAGCAGAACTTGCAAATTCATTGGAATCTGACATGGCCACATGGTGAGCATTTCTGCTGTAGCCTTGAACTCTCAACCTCTGAGCTTCCAGCCACTCACCCCAGTCACCACCTGAGCAAGGTATTCAACCACTGAAAAAGCTCAGCGACAAAAGAGTATATTTTTTAAAAGTGTATGAGAGCAGCTACTTCTGGCTTTTCCTTCACTCCAGAGGGTGTCTATATGCTCATTAATGCACTTTTGCTACTGCATGTTAAATTTAGTGCCTCCACTGTGAGGTTCTGGAAAAAGATGCATTAGTGAAAGTCCATTTTTTGTGATGCTTTAATGCGCATTAAAATAGGTCAATGAGCATTACAGCTCATGTGTAGATGAAACAAGCAGATTTAATCATGATTACCAGTCATATGATCATCTCATAGTATTAAAAAAAGAGCTCACATTCACTAAAGGAATTGAAAGCCTACTCTATAGAAATTAAAAAGTGAAAATTGCTAGTTTAACACCTTATTTCTTTTCGTCTCATTCACTATGCAGTGTTGTGTAAAGATAACCAAGGTAGCTCTGAAAAGCCGTGTAACTGAATTAGTGCAGCACTCTGCCTGGGCTAATCTACTTGCTAAGAAGCATGGTATATTAGCCTGGGTGGACTGTCAGGATACCACAACTATCCTGCGTCTGGTACTCAACATATACCAGGTATTTCTACATAATACTGCATACTACTGTATAGATACAACCTGATAAGCATGTAATGAGGAATAACTCCATTGAAGTGAATACAGTGACATGCTGGATCAGGGTAGCTGAGAGAAATTCAGGCCATTACACTTTCTTTGGACGCATACTGCTCAAAAAAACCAGTATCTCATATAACATAATTTCCTACTAACTTTCCAGTCCGTTGCAATTCTGGTCCACTATGCCCTCCAAGTGGTTCTGGATCCCCATGAGCTGCTGTCCCATTTGGCACTCCTGGGATCTTACGTTTCTCCTATAAGAAAGGAAAGGTTTTTTTCTACTCAGTTTAATCATCCAAATATGATTTTAGCAAGAAAAGAAGGCAAGAGATATAGTTATTTCCCCTTTTTAGTTTCCATCCATTAAATGAAATAGAAATACATTTAAAATTGTATCTAGGTTTCTATTGTGTGTGTAGTATTATAATTTGAATGAGGCTGTGCTGCCTTCATACAAAAAGAGGTGGGTGAGACCTGCAGAAGCAGCTTCCACGCAGTAGAAGTGGGAAGAGTATCCTAAGACAGTTTCTCAGGAGTTCTATAAAGTTTTATCTATACTGCAGTGGTATGACTACAGTTCAAGTACACATGCCAAAATCAACCTTAAACTAATGTAACCACAGCAGCACAAATCTCTACACTGGCTAGCCAACTGAACATTCACAAAGCTCATCAGACATTTTTTGTACCCTGCACTAGTTGCAGGCTATCACTGCTGTAATGCTAGTTTAAAGCCGGTTCCAGTAATTCTAGTTCTAGTGTAAAGCTAGCCTGCAAGAAATTTCCATGCAGGTATAAAAGGGAGTAGCTTACTAAGGAGTAATTGTTTAAGGACTTCGCACTGTAAAAAAACTAGTAACTAGAACTACCCATGTAACTGGACAGCCACAGTCCAGACCTGGACAGCAACAGTGCACAGGGCAGCAGCCACAGCTAGGCAGCTGGGGTGGGACAACAGCTGGAAAAGCAACAGGAGTAGCTACTATTTTTGCACCAGTACCCAGGGCTGGTGCCCCAGTCACCCTTCTTAGGTAAGCTACTGTACATCTCCCTCTGAAATTTCTTCAATTTCAGAATTTCTTAGCAACATATCCTAGGGTCCTTAATGCTCAGTATAAAGGGTGCAGGATTAAGTCCAAATTTAGGTCAAAACCTTCAGTTGCTGTACATAAGTCTCATGAAAGTTCTCCAAACTTTGCCATACATATGAAAATACCACAAGTAGCTCACCAGCTGCAAAGAATTTTAAACCTGGACTAACAAAATTCTGTGCCAGGAAAATATTTTAGGAAAATAAAAATATCATTATGTTATGCTCAGATCTCCGTCTTACCTGCTCATTGTACTTTTACTAAAAAGTAGCAACTAAGCAAAAGCAAAATCATTTGTTGAAGAACAAATAATGAGTAATAAATACATCTTGTGTAAATCATTCCTTAGCCAAGTTGCTTGAGACACTAAACAAAATTTAAAAGGGAGTATAATTCTACTCAAACAATAGAAAAAAAAGATGGTATCTAAAAACTAAGCAAATAATCAGTGTTGATCAATATGCAGTAACAATTATCTTAATTGTATAGGAAAGCAATTTAATAAATAAGAAAGTGTATATTTACTCCATGCTTTTTCTGGGTTTGCTTATACTTCCTCCTGATGAAAAAAATAGTTTCTCTGGGAAGTCAAGAAAAAATATCTATGCTTGTACAAAGTAACAATAGGTTTCTCAATCTTTTGATTTATTTACCATTTCTATGAAAGGTAGTTCTACTGAGTTTCCTATTTTGATTTAGTCTTATCTTACTTTTTTTCTTATTTGAGATAAGACCAGAATAAGGGTAAAAGGGCTTTTAACTGTTCCTCTCTTTTATACTTTAGAAGGCATTGAGCTGTCTAGTTTTCAAAGTAATTGTTTATCCAAAGCCATGAGCTATCCTTAATAGTCTAATATGTCCTGTATCTGTTTTTATACCACACTCAAAACCTTTGTATGTGAACAGTTTTCAATCAAGTACTAAGTATCAGTTGTGTTTATCCTCTCATCCTCTTCACAGGGTTGCAGCATGGTGTTTTGTTTTGGTAACTGATATCCTAATATTGACTTTAGGTCTCTTGTAATTTTGTATTTTCAAGAAGCATGTAATCGTAATAAACAGAATAAAGAGTAAGAAGATTATACTTTATACTCCTCTCTACAGAAAGTGTATATAGATTATAATAACATAATTTCAGAGACGTACACGTGAACACAAACATTTAAACATTCATTAAATCTCTAGAGCAACTGAGAAATGAACAAAGGTAATTTTATATCCCACCCATAAAATAATTAAATGACAGTGTGGTTGGTTGGACTGCAGACCCTCAGATATTCTAAATCACCGATTTGCTGGAGTATCTAAGCATCACATAACCAAACTGAGTGCATTTTATTTTGTATGATTTCATAAACCTATAAACAACAGTCTTGCCACTACAGAGAAATGTTCTCCTCAGCTCTTAATAGTTCCTTAATGGATTAAGGATTAATCTAAAAAGCAAAAAAATATATAGATAATTCACACTTCACCTGCTTGCTAAGCACTTAAGTGCTTGTTGAATTTGAAGTGTAATTTACACACCTGAGAAGGAACATTTTTGGGTGGCTCTATTCGAATTGTTGGGTCCCATTCTCCAGGAGGGAGAACTGTAACCTGATCAAGAAACTCATCAATTCCAGAAACCAAGTCATTACGATCTTTAGCTTTATAAGCTACGTCATGAAATACCTGTTGAAGGACAACAAAAGCCAGAAATATATGAAACACTCGTTAACATATAAATAAAATTGTAAGTGTAAATTCTTTCATATTTCTACTTCTTTCTCTTGTAAGGAATGCAATTTATCAATTTTTCCACTATTTGTAAAAAAAAATAATCACAATATTGAACTAGCTGTCACTTCTAATGAGACAGACACTATAACCAGCCTCATTCAGAAGGCTGAATGTTCCTAAGATTGACAGTTCAAAATGTGACTGATTCCACTAAAATGTAACTATATAAAATGGCATCTTATCTTAAAAGTTATTCTTTATGACTAGGGACAGGCATTACACATAAACCGGTTTAAGACACTGGTTTAAACCTGTAACACAACAGATGTTCAGTGCATATAAACCAGTTTGAAAATGCCTGAAAACAGTTTGAGATAAACCTGGTTGAATGTAGCATTAGACTTAACTGATTTGGCTCAAACCAGTTTATGCAATGTCTGTCCCAGACCACTTGCTGATTTAAGTTAAATCAGAGTCCCGCAGAATCCCAGCATACTCTCTGGGCTGGTCAGGGCTCTCTGCTCCACAGCAGAGCTAGCCCCTCCCCTCTGCTCCCTGGCTGGAGCTCAGCACAGACTTGCAGACACAGCAGGGTCTGCTGGCTTACCTGTACCACCCTCTCTCCCCCACCACTTGCTGCTTAAGTAGAGATCCCTTCCTCCTCTCTGCCACAGCATGAACCGTAACCAGCATGTGATATGCTAGCTAATTCCAAGAGGTGTCTGTGTGTCTCTCTCTCTCCAATTTCACTGGGCTAGGCAGAGAGAACAGTGACCACTTAAGGCTTTTGGAGCTAACCAACAGGTCAGCTGGTAAGCTGTTTAAGAAGTTTGAAGTAACGTAGAGAGAAGCTATTGTTTTGCTAACTGGGTGACAAAGACTTAGCAGCCCGCCCCCTGCCCTGGCTGGCTTGCTCACCAGTCAGTTTGCTGCAGATAGTATGACAAAGCAGGGAGGGAGATTGAAAAGCTCTGTATCATCAAGAGATGCATGCACTGCACACAACCCCTTGCCTCAGAGTGCCAGCCCAGGGCTGGGGGCTCGCACCACTCCTGCCCCTTGAGCAGCCAGTAGGGAAAAGCCTGGGACCATGCAGGCAGACATCCCCCCTCAGCTCAGCTCCCTGCAGGAGGGAAGGGAGGGCTGCTCTAGTGTCCCCCATCTTCTAGCCTGAGCCACTGCAGGAATGTGCCTGAATTTCCTCAGTTCGGAGAGAATGCCTGTCCAGTTTCAAACCAGTTCAGCCTATTCAGGTTAGACTAACCTGCAAAGATTGAATCAATTCCGGCTCAGGCTTTTTGAATGTCTGTTCCTAGCCTATGGATATGTATAGACATTTGGGGAGGCTAGGGGGAGGTTGGATTGAGTTAAAAATGGCCACCAGATCTAAGGTAAGTCAGGATAGGGGGAGCTAGTGGGGGGGCTTGGGGAGATAATGGGGGCAGGGAGGCTCTGGGGGGGATGTGGGGGCTAGCAGGTTCCACAGGGAGGGATCAGGGACCTGCAAGTGGGGTCTGTGGGGCTGCTGGTGGGGTCCAGGAGGGTTTGTTGCAATCAGGGGGGCCATCAGGGTCCACAAGGAGGCTTGAGGGGAACAAGGGGGCTCTCTCCTCCACCCTGGGGACCAGGGGCTATTTTTAGTCCCCAACCTCACCCCAACCCCAGATGAACAACCCTCCTCTGGCAAACCAACCCCCCCACCCCAATTTACTTCCTCAGCCCTTGGTCCCAGTGAACACTAGTAAAACTGGCCCCAGGAGTAGCCTGTTGGATTGGGGATGATGAGTTTGGTGGGCTTGGGGTGGGGGCTGGCTGGTCTGTGGGGGGGTTGTCAATCAGAGAAAGCGGTCAAGGGGGACTAAAAACAGCTCAGTGCCAGGTATAGGTGCAGGGGAAGCACAGACCCAGGGCTGGGGCCAGTGTCTGGGCTTTCCCATCCCTAGGGCTACAGTGGGAACTGTACAGAAGTTCAATTAGATAGTCTAATTTAGATCGGGTCTGGTGCAACCAGTCTCAGAGGTACACTTAACACAGATTGGATCATCCATTTTTAGACCAGTCTAACTGTCCTGAACTTCTTCTGTACAGTTCACAGTTACCTCACTAGGTATCTAAGGGTGCAGACAAAAGTGATAATTTTTGCCTGATCTGGCCACAAAAAGCAGTTTATAGCTGTGACCAAACACAAATGCACGGCTGCAAACAGCGTCAGAAATGGCCAATTGGGTGAAAATCTGAACCCCTCATTGCATGAGGTATCAAATAAAGATATTACAAAATGTAGCTCTTTTGTAACTTGTGTCTGCCAAGCTCCCAGCCTCTTACTGTTTTCAGAATGGGAAGGGGAAAAGGGAGCAGAGTGAGTTCAGTTTGGGGGTTTTTCAGCCCCCTGGAGGGTGGGATGGTGTATTGCAGCCCTTCCCCCACAAGATGGGGGGACTCAACTCATGCACCCCACCCTTCAGCACCAGCTGGGGAGCCCCAAAAATGAGCTCCCTCCACTGCCTTTCACAGCTCCCATTCTGACAACAGTGAGCACTGGCAGAGAGCTTGGCCATTGCTATGGGAACCTGCTGCAGGCTCCCAGTGCAGCTAGATTTCCCCCTCTCCTGGAACCAACAGTGAACTTCTGTTTGGTCCAGGGTAATGTTGTAACTCAGAACGCTTTGCAAAAATCATTCTGAGTTATAGCTGGGAGCTGCACTCCTGTTTATACCCAAAGTGTAAGGTTCACACCTGGGTGAAATAAGTTAGATCAGGTTGCCATTTGTAATGTTATCTACCTCTCCCAAACCGCCCCAAATGTCTGTATATACCCTATGTGTAAAATATATCTCAAGTCATATCTTCTTGTTTCAGTCATTCCTATTTTTTTCCTGCAGCCAATTCAGCTATGCAATTGTGAACTGGATCCTATTGCTGTTTCCACATCATAAGAATGATTAACTATTTTCCATTTGTGGAGTCAAATCCTATCTTTGGTTACACTTTAATACTGCCAAAGGAAAGACAGAACAAAAATCAGGTGAACCTTTTGGTCCTACACTATCTTCAGTTTGAAATATCAGGAGGAAAAAAAAACAATCTAGAGTTGTATATAATGAATACCTCATCTGTCATTAGTGTTGCAATTGATCTCCCAATCTCATGATACTGCTGGCCTTTTCCCAGTGGTCCCAAAAGAATAAACAAAAACCTACAAAAAAGGCAAAAACAAAATATTTTAAGAATGAAAAGCTGAAATAGCTTACTGTAAAAACAAAACCATTCATTAAAACTTTAACCACAAGAAATAGTGTCAACAAAATAATAAAAAATAAGCAGCCTCAGAGGATCCTTACACAATAATTTAAATATGTTGACATAAAAAATTGAAATTTACCCCAGAAACATATGTATATAATGAGCTTTGTTGCTGGACTGGGTTGTTTGTACTCAAATTTCCTTATGGACTAAACCCATGTAGATAATCCTAAAGTTTCATGCAAAAATACCTTTGACAGAGCTAGCTATTCAATTTATTCATATGCATCACTCTTGCAATATTATGGAAGTTATCCCAAACATGCATATGCACAACACTATTCAGGGTAGAAAAATAACACCTTGCCTTTTGTTAATATTTTAACTGCATGATAAATCCCCTCTATTTCATATCCCAAATGCTTATCATCAAAGTTTGGACTGTGGAATAGTCTACCATGAATATACTTGGGTAATAATTAGGATTCTTATAGTCAGAATCTGTCATTTGAAACATTTTCTGAATAAAAATAGGCATTCTTAAAAGGTTTATCATGACTCATCTGGGATATGGGAAAACTACATTCAAATCTTATGCTGCAAACAGATGTTGTCTTTATGCTGCCATAAAAAAAATTATGGCATCAAAAATTCCAAGCAAACAGATGTCCTTGACCCTTGTCATGCCACAAACGCTCAAAATCGTGGACACATAAATAGGTGGTAAACATTGTGTTTCCTTTTACATGGTGAATGTCCGTCTGCAAGTGCAGCCCAAAGCTCCCAGGGCTTCAGGAGCCTCATCCTACATACCCCAGGAATGCCCTTGCAAGATTGGGCTTCTGAAACCCCAGAAGCATCTCCCCAAGTTTCCCCACTTGCAGAACTGTGCCACGATAGCCCCCCAGCAGGAGATTCTCTAAGCACATGTATTGCTCTGCCGTGCCCTGACTTGGGACAAGAGGAGACATCTGGGTCACCCAATGAAGCCAATCAACTATGCTGGGGCACATCCTGGAACAGATGATCCTACTCCAAGAATAATGTCTGCTTATAGCTTTAGTCTGGCACAGCAGAGCTAGAACTCTGGTCTCCTATATCCCAGGTGATACTGAAATTACTGGGCAACTAGCTTTTCTGGAGGTGTTTCTTTTCTCTCTGACCAAACTTGCATCCTGAAGAAAATATATCTCCTAACAGAAGTTTCCTTTAAATTGATGAATTTTAACAAAAAGTTTTTGTTGAGATGAATTGGCATTTTCCAATGAACTATGTTTCAGCAAAAAATCTCACCTGGTTCTACTAATATTCACCAAACATTTATATAAAAAGTTTCACCATTAATGGAGCATTCAAACTGTTCAACCTACCTATTTACTAATCGGGGGTTTGAATGCTCACCTAAGTCACATGGTTTTGTTTATTCTTCCTCAAATTTTTAAAACTGGCAAATGACAAAAAGTGACTAATGAACAGACCAGCTGTGTCATGAATGCCTGGGGCAGGGATCAATGTTATCGCCTTTGCATAAAGTCATAGTAAATATTTGATCATCACTGCGTTGTCCAGAAAGGTAACATAAGTGAGAATCAGTTTCCTTCTTGGTTCCTCCTCTGCTTAGGAAAGTAAATGGCTCCTCTTTTATCTCTACATAGGAGACATTCTCCAGTGCCTTGGTGCATCTATTGGTGGGATAAGGCCACAACTCCTTTCAACTGTCTAAGAAAATAAATGGAGTGACTGTGCCTCATTACCATTTTGGTCCCCATGATGCCTCTGTACATGGGCCACAATTTGGCCTTAGCAAGGAAATATTCAATCATCCCAAATATTTGCACAATATTCAATGGCTTCTGAATTCTCATTAATAATTAAATTGTTTACTATCATGTGAGTCTTTCTATTCTGATAACACTGTCATTGATTAGTTTTCCTGGGCATCTCCACCCATTTTAGTTTTAATAAAATAATTATTATTCTTATGAAAAAAAACCTAGAAGTTTTTCTTCCTCTCTTTCCTAGCTTCCTCTGAAAGAGGGAACAGAAGATAGAAATAAGCTGTGACACAGGAAAGAAAAGGAGAAAACAGGATAACAGGGTACTGTGCAATATATAAATGCTGGAGAGAATTTCCATTCTCTCTTTTTCAGTTGTTTACCAGAAGTGCTGAGGCTCTTAAGCAATGTTCAGGGAACATACAAGGATTGGCACAAAAATTTCTTCTTCTACTTCTAGGAAGAAACACAACACTGACTGACAGGCCTCAAGTTCCAAAACACACCCAAGTACACATACTTTTAAAAAGGAAGGAAAGATGCACCTGTTATAAGGTAGTAATCCAGTTCAACACTTGATAAACAACAAAGCTGAAGGATCATCCTGCTTTATAGCTCCAAGTAATACACTTTAGGAAAATAAAGTAGGACCGATCAACACTTACCTTGTCGGAATTGGAACTTCAGCTAGCCCAGAAAGCAATACTGCAGGGGACAATCTAACAAAAGCAACTACAGCACGATCCAGGAACTCTAGTTCCCCAACTAAAATGTTCGAAGCTTCAGCCCCAGGAGGTATCTTTTTCATGAAGTGTAGGTCAACCTGGAAAGAGCACAGTGAATCATCCAAAATGCTAACATATACAACAACCTCTTGTTTTCTATTTTGTGGAAACAGAGAACCTTCATTTGGTCACCAACGATGGTATAAGGGTTTTTTTAATTAGTCTGCTTGTGATGTTCTCTTTCTCAAACAAATTTAGAGAGAAATTAAATTCTCTCTCAGTGGTTTGAATTATCATAAATTGTCAGCATTTGTCCAGCTATGCAATGGGAAAATATATAATCCTGCTGCATAGGCAAATTTTAATGTAACCCAAGGCCCTGCCCCATGTTATACTTAAGATGTTATTAACAAGTTAACCCAGCCACATGTTCGAACAATTAATGGTGTGATACAATGTGGAATGACTTTGTGGCTAGTTCATGTCACTCCATTAATTGAACATATGGCCAAGTGTGCCCTTCTGGCTGGGGGCATCATCAACTGAGGGGGGCTCCCAGCCACAGGAGCTTGATACATGATGCAGGGGGGAGTGTAGGTTGTGTATCCAGATTCCCCCTGCACCAGGAAAAAAGCATGATGGGATATGATGCATGATCCCACAATCATGCCTTCTGCCATACGTGTGGAATGGCAGGAAGTACAATTGTGTGGATCATGCATCAGATCCCATTAGGCCTTTACCTGCATGTCTGGTAGGGGCCTAAGTAATTAATTTACAGGAGCCAAACAAATGTTAAATATGCCATATTTTATTCTCTTATAAATTATTTATAATGTTATTTAATAACAGATACAGGAACCAAGGCTTTCACTTCGTGTAAGCAAGGGAAACCAATTCACTGGGTAAGATTGCTGGACTAAAGCCCCAGCAAGATGGGAGATTGCCTCATCTTTCAACACTTTGTTCCTACCAGCCAAAATCATGTTATTGGTCAGGCTTGGTGGAAGATGCTTTCGTATCTACCAAGCATGAGAAAATAAGCTGTAAATATAACTGTCCAGAGGGGAGACTTTAACAGTCAGAGTAACTATAAGTCTGAAGTTAGAGAGCAGCAATGCTCAATATTGAGGAGATGGAGGAAGCTACTTCATCACTGAATGGTATCAAAAGCAAGGAACACTTTTATAAAGATTCCTTAGAGTTCCATTGGAACAATCTTTAGGCAAGGGTCAGACCCTTACATACATCCAAGTATTCAACTTGTTTTAATTTAGGTTTGGAATGTGCTGGATGCTTAAAATATTATTTTAAAACAGCTTACATGGATGTTAACATATCTTGATTGCACTGATTTTACACTACTGTCTAGTCATTTCCCTGATGTTCAGAATAATTTATTTAATGTATAATTTCCACAGTATCATTCTACATGGTATTATGTAATAAAGTTTGAAATACATCAGTACAGTATATATCTTGTATGTCTGACTTGACAATGCACTCATTTTTTTCATTTGCTTTCCTTTTATTAATCTAAACACAACAACAGTGACCAAATCCAACATAAACTGTTAAAGTGGACCATTTTAATGTCTATCTTAAGCCATCTGTCAGTACTAGTACACATAGTTTTTGGTAATATTTAGAAAATTGTTTTCTTACAAATGGCTCTGGCACTTGATCAGAATTTAGACTAACAGAATTGCTTGTGTTATGAAATATTTTTCTAAAATCTTACCATCTCCCAAAATCTCAAAGACATGTTAATGTTACCCTACTCTAAAAATGTTCCTTTTGAAAATATGACTGACACCTCAGAGCCAACTGTCAAACACCAGTCTGAAGGACCAAGGAATACTCCACAGACATTTCTAGTGGAGCAAAGAATAAAAGAATATATTTTCCTGTATCTAGTTAGTTATGCACTGCTAGGAACTTTCAAGAGAGCTGAGCTACTTTATGAAGCTGCAAACCTGGAGGTGTCTATGAAGGTCAGCTAGAGATCTTGTTCCAGGCACTTTTTCTGAATTTCCCTGGCAACAAAGATCTCATTTTCTGTTGCATCTCAAAAGCAGTCTAGTGGACCTGTATTTACATGGAAATAAGTTTTCATATCTAGAAAGTTATTATGGCTTTGGCAAACTCAGTAAGAGGGTTTGAAATCAGTAGGATATCAAACTACCTACTAAACTGAAGGTCAACAAAGCAGTGATAGCAATGACACTCCTGTGTGGATATGAGGTCTGGTTGGTATACAGAAAGCACACTCAGCAACCTCGGAGAGACTAAACAAAAAATTCCTGTGCATCTTGCTTCTGCTTAACAGGTACATACTGATAAAGGGATGGGTTTTGAGGTTTTGTAACACATCAACTGCATGAATATGGCAGCATTAACGAAAGGCTCAGCTGGACTAAATATGTAGTCCAGAATGATAATATTCAAATGCCCAAGCAGTAGTCACATAGTAAACTACAGCTTAGGAAGAGGAAACACAGTTGCCCTAGGAAGCATTTTAAGAATACTTTTAAGTGGTATCTGGTACAAAACAAAAGCATACCAGTTGATCGATAGGAATCTCTTGTTACTGATAGGCAGCAATGAGGCACCAAGGTACAGAAAAGCTTAATTCATTTCCAACATTTATGATGTGACAATAAGCCAAAAAAGGATATAAGGGGCAAGACACATCAGCACTGAGACAGTTTTACAGGATGTGATGAAATGTGAGACTTGTGGAAAAGGCTGCATTGGCTTCTGCAGTCACAAGTACACCCACCACAGATCCCCTGGTAGTCTGGTAGCACCACCCTTAGCTGCTGTGGACATGCGATGAAGGATATGTGAATCTAAGTAGATTAAACATATGAAATAAATGAGGCAAAGGAGAAGGCTATATTTTTGCCCTTTAAAATTTAAACTATGTTCCTATGCTTGAGACTCAATCATCCCAAGCAGATTTTATTGTTTTTTGTTTTTCTTTTTATTGTGGTTTGTTACTATAGAGGGATGTTTCCTAATGTCTTATTAGAACACCCCATTTATATTTCAAAAGTACTGCGGTATCCCATATTACGGTTCCAGGTGGCATACAAACACACAGTGAGTGTGTGTACATGAGATGCTTTACTGTGCCGTAGGCTAACCTTTTCATTCTTTTTTCCACAATAACTGACTAGATGCCTTGAAACCACTATCCATCTCTCATGTTAACAGCTAAAGTATCTATAATAGCCAATTTGTAGAATGTAACCAACACAAGCTTCTTCAGATTTTTATGTATTTACTAGCTGAAACCTGCAAAACATTTGTGATTAAATTTTTATTGCAAAAGTATTTCTTTAAATGTAGGATTTTTAGTTATCCTTTGACTGAATACTTTAACGGAATCAAAACTTCTCCCCCTTGAAAAAGCTACATAAAGCTGTCCATGTATAAAACAGGCTTAGGAATATAAATACATATTTTGTCAAAACTCTGACCTTGTGACTTAGTCATAGAATAAGTGGGCCCTTGTGCATGTGACTAAGGCCCCTTGTACACGTGAGGAAATGGCACGTTTTACTGGTTTAATTGCTCTTTTTAATGATTTAGTTGTGTAACAATGTCCATGTTCGGCAGTGAATTTTGATTTAAATGACTTTATTACGTAGCAAACTAAAACACATCCCATGTATTTTAGTTTGCTACATAACGAGTTACAGCAGTATTCCTCACATGTATAAGGGCCCTATCTGGAGAAGGCGATGGGGATGGTGCACGGGGCCCTGGAAGCTCATGCGTGCTTGAGGAAGCTTGGGCTTGGCGGGCTTCCAGTGACCTGTGCACTGTCCCCGCCATCTTCTCTGGCTGCCAGCACACCCAGCCACCTTCCTGCAACCTTCCCAGGGAAGCCAGCTGGTCCCCAGATGGTCCCAGGCAGCAGGAAGGTGGCAGGGACAGTGCACAGGAAGCCTGCCAAGACTGGGCTTCCAGTGCCCTGTGCACCATTGGATCTGGCGGGTGCTGCCTGCAAGCTGGGGCCACTCTCGCACAGCTAGCACCCTGCCTGGGCAGCCCTAAGGGGAACTGCCATTGTAGAGGGAAGCTCTGGGGCCCCCCACCACAGTTCAGGGGCTGTGCGACTCAGTGGCAGCTTGTGTGGACAGGCTCTGCTGAGAAAAAATAAAGTGGCAAGGGGCCTGAATTCTTTTTTTCTTCTGGAGCCTGCCTGCGTCTCTCTCTCACTAGTTGCTGACTGGTCATGCAGCCCCTGAGCTGCAGGGAACCCCACTGCTTCTCCCTATGGCAGTGCCCCCTGGGCAGCACCCACCTGCTGGCACCCCAGCCAGGAGGTCCCGGGGGTGTCGCTACTGTGAAGGGAAACACCGGAGTCCCCTGCAGCTCAGGGCCACCTGCAGCTCACCCCCCAGCTGCAGGAGAGGTGGGTAGGCTCTGAGAGGGATAAAAAGAAAAGAAAAAAGTATCGGGCCCCTTACCACTTTTTTTCTCTTTCAGTGGAACCTGCCCGCCCCACAGCGGGGGCCGCTAGTGGTTCATTCTAGCCCTGACTTGCCTGCATATCTGTTTGAAATGCCTAAGGATTTATAATAACAACTCATTTATTCTGTCTGTCCAGAGCAGTCAATTGGTTGTTTCAATAAGCGTTGTGATTGGCTGCCAAGACAACCAATAAAAGTGCTCCAGACAGACAGAATAAGCCTATTATTATTGATTTGTATTTTTTTCTTTTTTAGGAAAAAACAATAAGAATCAGTCAAGAGGCTTTTACCTAATTTAACGAATCAGGTAAAAAGAAATTCAAACAGAAGTTGATTCATACCTCAACTGAAAAAACAACTAACCAGAAATGAAAAAAAAACAAAGCAATACTACTTTATCACACTCTAGATTCTGGGTGGTCTTGCACTGTGATCAAAAAGACAACATATTTGGCCTATGATACATCATAACGTACAGACTGAGAGCCTTATTACACATGGCACTTTGAGCTGCTCAAATGTCGATCGGTGTTAGTGCTCACTCAAGCTTGGAGCAGTCACAACTTAAAGCTAAAAAGCTGCACAGTAGGGGTGTGTGAAACGGGCCGTATTTGATTCGGATTCAGCCCAAAGCAGGGGACAGTAATTCGATTCATTGATTCAGATCACTGTCCCATTTCAATTCGACCAAATCCGAATCTGAATGTTTGATACTGATTTGGAGAATCAGTGATTCAGTCATAGACACGGCTTTAAATGTTTTCTTTTTACATACCTTGAGGTACCAGACACAGCTTGTGAATTCTGAGATGGGGGGCAGATGGAGCATCCCACAGAAGCGCGGGGACCCCCCGTGTGCTCGGCAGTGGACCCAGAAGTGGACCGGAACTAATTCTGGTCCACTTCCAGGTCTGCCACTGAGGACACAGGGGACCCCCTCCCCCCCCCCCCCCACCCCCACGGTGCCCCACCAGCTTGTTGATTGGCTGCAGGGGGACGCCGGGGGTTCCCCGCCAGGGCAGTGGCAGTAGCTCCCCACCAAAGTGCCTTTCCTCACCGCACCCACCTCCCAGCTTCCCAAAAGCATATGGGAATGTCTCCTAGCTAAAAAGGAGGCATACACCCAATGGAAGATGTAAATCCTTTTTTAAATACATAGGGGGTAAAAAGAAGGTACCAGGTAACATGGGGCCTCTGCTAGGAAATCTGGTCATCACACCAGACAGCAAAGTTAACTTGTTTAACAATTTCTTTGCCTCCATTTT